ACTTTCCAGTTACTTCATTCCTTCTTAGAACATCTCCCACAGTGGCTATAGTTGAACACCTCCAGTAACAAAAAACTCACTATCTCGTAAAATAGTCAACTTGCCTCAGACCAGCTTTTTGGAAATGTTTTTCTTTCCTTGGGAGCTAACATCTGGCTCCCTGCCAGTCCTCCTCTTTTGGTTGTTTCTACCCTGGAAACTCAGATCAAGTCTGACTCCAATTTAAGCACTGTCTGCCTCATAGGCTGTGACTTATATAACATTGTTACAAACCTACTCACCAGCATGCTGAAGGAGTCCTCAGGATGTATCACAGATTGTCTTGAGCCCTCTTAAATGTGATGCTCAGGAATGAATGGGTGGCCTGTTGAATGCAGAGAGGAGTGAGCCTGCCACCTCTTTCTACGCCTATGCTTCTGTGAACATAGCTCAAAATATCAAAATGGTTGTTTGTAGTAGTCACATCACATTGTTGAATTGGGTGGAGCACACTGCCAACTAAAACCCACGGTGCTTATGCAATATTAAATACCATCACCATCCCACATCCCTGGTCAGCTGCCAGCTTCTCTGTCCCTGCAGGCTCTGCATCTTCATGCACTCTCAGAGATAATGTGACACAGATGCTTCCTCCTCCCTATGAGGACTCCACCTCCCTTTCCCTGTTTTCCTAATACTTTTTTCTTGTCTAACCTACCCACCTCCCTCTTCAATTGGTTACAAGAGGGAAGGCAGTCTGCCTTTGGTGAACTTTAAACAACTGTAAATGAGGACTATTGTCACAGAAAACTCATAAAGATCTATTGTAACAGAAGGAGCTGTTGGTGAAATTTCCACAAGTATTCAGTTTGCTTTTATTGCTGATTTAAATCATCCCTCTAAGTTAATACTATTAGTAGATGACAGGGTGTGGCTAGCTGAGCCATTATGAGCTCTAACAAAGGTCTCTGTTAGAACCAGCCAGATCACTGGCTTTTTCTGCTACACCCAACATCATACAATACATAGACTAATTCCCAGGACACCATGTCACCAGAAAGAGTCCCTAACTCACCTGGTTCTTTATTTCAAAAACT